GCGGCTGGCGGCGGGGGCGCCGGGCGCCGACCCCGTAGGCTCGTTGCTCGCCTGCTTCGGCCGGTGAGGACGGCAGCGCACATCGTTCAACACGATGAAGGGCCATTCATAAGCAACACGTTAACGCAGACGTGAAAACATAAACATGAACTTTTAATACATGGACGAACCTATCGTAATTGCCCATGTCGATTACGGGTTTCGTTCTTTTTCCCTTGATCTGATTGAAAAAATGCTAATATGGTTTCTTGTTGGGCATACGTTTAGCTTCACTATGCGCATGTCTGTTGATCTGTACGTTTGCTGGTGGTGTAGGAATAGGACTGGGGAGGGAGTGGATTTGCTAATTTGTTAGTAATACTATACAATAAAATCCGCACTTTGTGTACCGAAGCAAAGAAGTATTTTTCTCACGAGCGAAAATTTCTAGTTTTTAATTATTAACCTCGCTTGATTAGTATTTTTATTGATCATTTAACTATGTATAGAAACTTCATTAGTGGAGATTCTGAAGCTGAATAAACGAGTTCATATTTTACGTTTCTCCAGGATACCACATACAAGTTAAACTGTTTTTTGACGAAATAAATAAAATTAAATAAATCGAATGAAAACCACAGCCGTGAAGTGATAAACAAACAGCGGAAAGGAAGAAAGTCAAATATTATATCAAAATGCATTTTTCATATTCAATATCTCAAACATTCACGCCTGAGATGGCATAGTATTCAGAGAATAAAATGCCCATCCTAAAATACCCAAACTTTCAGATTGGAAAAAAAATACTAATAACAAGCAAATGCCATCTCCGTGATTAATCAAACCTTTTTCTCATTGGAATCTATCATTTCGTTTCCTATTTATTTACAAATCAGTATTTTTCGTCAAAACTGACTGACATAACGGTGAGAACATATTTTCATAGAGTTGATATTTATAATTACAAGACACGTGTAGAAAATCACATTCATTAGGTGTAAGTTTAAAAAGTTCACTACATGTAATCCACAAACTACATGTCCGTTTCTTTTAAACGCTTTACCAGACGACATTAAACAATTAAAATATATACACAAATGAAAGTGCCAAATAAAATCCTTTCTGATGCCCAATTTTATCTATACAATTAAAAACTATACTGACCATCAAAAAGGAGTCTAATATCTAACAATAACACTCATTGCATTAGATGATATTTGCACTGTGTAATTCTAAAAGACTGAATATGCCTGTAATAAAAATAGGATTCTGTTTGTGTCAATGCCCGCCCCCCATCTCGATAAGATTAGAATTTTTTATATGGTAAACGACTAAGAGCAGGGATACGAATGACATTACACAGAAATGTAATTTTAATACTAATCTCAAAATTAGAATAATGTTTCTAAAAAACTTTCAGGCATGGAATTTTCTCATTATTTTCTCTGAATTCAGCAACCCAAAATATATGCAAATCAACTATTAATTTGCAGTCTTTTTTCAGTCGCGGACCTGTGTTATTATTTACAACATCATGAGTAAGACAAATGATTCAACAGAGCGTTCACGAAAAATGATAATTGTAAATAGCAATTTAAGCTCTTACAAATTGCATTAGTTTCAATGTAATGAAAACTCTAGAAGATTTGTTGGATCTCACTGCAGTACACGATAATGTGGTATTGTTGTATAATGTTAAAATAAATGTGAAAGCTTGGAGCATTTACGTTCACGATCACCTTTCTCAATAGTTCCATCAAATGAAATGGCACCAAATTTTGATTTCACGTTCCATTTAAGTTTTATTGTGAATGAGCATTTACTCATTAGCTGTTACGTCCTCTCACGCGTGTGTATTTAGAATTCAATATGTGTTACTAATATCCGTTTCTCGCGTGTCCAGGCTCTTCTGCAAAGGCTTCGAGCCGCACGTGGAGGCGCTTTATCCGCCGACCCAGTTCCCTGTGCAGAGAGGAACCCCGATGATTTCCCCGCTGCTGCGCTGGAACCACGACAAGGACTGGCCCGTGGAATACACTACGCAGCTGACACGCAATAGAGTTCGCGATTTCGTCATTGACGACGCCGATTGGGCGTTCTTTTACGACCACCTCATAGACGACCGCCCTATCATTCCAGCCGTCGGATACATGGTAATTGTTGCCAAATCAATGGCACGAAAAGAAGCATGAATTATGTTAATTTCAATAGGAACGTCTTTGCTATTTACACTGCCGTTTAAGCTCATACTCCACTTTCCCCATTTGGTTGTTGGTGCAGTACATGGCGTGGATGACGTTCGCTGAATCGATGGGCCAGATTTGTTCCGACACGCCCGTGCTCTTCGAAAAGGTCAAGCTTCTTCGCGCCACCCATCTCCCCAAGAAGGGTGAGTTTACTGTATGCGATTACGTGTAAATGACAACCGCATCGCTTGCAAACGCTGCTAGTCCAGGCTGAAACCTGGACGGTGGTGGAATGGACGCAAACACTGCGCTGGCATCAACGGATGCCCTGAGCCACCTAAGCCGGCGAGAAGCAGAATGATGTTCCCATCTCACCCCCCCCTCTCATTTGTCCCGTGCTTCCAGGCAACTCTGTGACGCTGCGCGTGTCGGTGAACCTTCGCGGGGAGTTCGAGGTGTCGGAGCGCAGCACGGCCGTGGTGGAAGGCCGCATACGGCTTTTGACGGCCATGGAGCGCGCCAGGGTGGCCAAGTGCACCCGGGGGTTGCGGGCGCCCACTCCCGCATCTCCCTCCGCCTCTGGCTCCGTTCCGGCAGAGCTGCTCCTGACGGAACGCGAGGTGGATAAGGTGCTGCGCCTTCGCGGCTACCACCAGAGGGGCCTCTTCCGCACCATCTCGGACGTCGCGACAGACGGTAAGTGCCGTACCCGGCGTGCCCGCTCCCACAATAGAACCTCTTCTCACACCGACACACTAAACTATAATTTATACTTTCTCGCACTTACGAAAAAGTGAATAAATTCCGTTCCTATATATAGTAAATTACTTCCTCTAACAAATGGTTTCGTCACAATTAATGTTTTGTGGGACCTTGACACCGAAACAAAGAAAATTTATCTAGCACGGTATTACTCTAAAATTATGTCTTGAGACTACCCAACAAAATACGTAAACTAATGGAAACCAATTTAGAATGCAATTTATTTAGCAATGCGAATGACGTTTTATTAAAGATAAAAACCCAGAAGTCCAGCAAAATATAATTACTAATAGTTGGCTTATAATACTATTATTCTTGTGTACCATTAATCTAATTTTTATCTAATTTTGACGTTTCTTGTTCCCCGTTTTTAAATAATTTCCCGTTTCCACTTTCCTACGTTTCAACCACGTACCTTTCCTTCATTTCTTTGTTTGTTTGTGCCTTTTCAGTACTCGATATTTGCTATAATTGAACAATCTGGGGCAATTGTTTCTAAGTGTTGCTGACAAATTCGACATTTATCCTGGGAAATTTTGAGAGGCTAGATCCTAGTGTGAATCCTCTTCTCAGTGCCTGGCATTTGGCAGCTCTTAAAACTACTTCCGACTCTGTCTTCACTTTTCCTATTTTACGCTTTGTAAATAATGTTCTTTGTTGCTATTGATGGTGGTTTGATAACATCTATATTATTACTTCGTCGGATACATTTAGAAACTAACTTATAAGTAGTAGAACGCTCTACAAAGATGAATCCAAAGACATACTCACTTTATTATCATCTTCTCTGGAGAAGGGAAAATTCAACAGGAACATGTATTGTACTCATAGGTAGGCCCACTTACCTACGGGTTAAAGAAATTCATTTTCATCTTAGCTACCTATTGGTGACATGTTGGTGACGTGGAATCAGAACGCTCTGTATGAAATTTATTTAGGAAGTAGCAACGTAGTATTTACTTGAATATTCTTTTTGCAAATGAAAGTATCGCCGTGGTCACCGTGTGGTCACCACGGTAAATTGTCACTTTATGTCACTTTCAAAATATATTTTTTAACACTTATCGCGCTCAATGCAACACAGCAGCCACCGTTTGGTATGGTTTTCTAAACGTAGTGCCCGTTCTGTGATCACGTGGTTCGTGATGCGAACTGGTGTTGCGCAGAACAAGCAAAAACCGGTGCACCGGAAGAGCTCAACCATCTCCTTCCACCATGGAAAGTGCAACCATGGAAGACTCCCATATCGGGAGTGAAACAATAATATTGTGAACGTGAGAACGGGAGTCGCACCCTGGCATGCTGCTCCCACGTAGCTGCAATCATTTTTTCTTCAATTTGGCACACTCTCGTTACTAGGTGAAAATTTAACACGTCAGGAATTTTGAGTTTAAAAACGAACGGGTGATTCCAGTTATTGAAGACTGTGACAATGATTAATTGGGTATGACAAATTTCAAGTTTTTGTATTGATAAAATAGGTTTTAATTACTTTTTACTATCGTCCACATTGTTAAAACTCATGTGCAAAAACTGAGTCAGTACTATACCGTTATCACGTCGAACATCAATTTCAAAAATGTTTTATTTTTTTAATATTTGATTTTGACGGCAAATTTGGTGAACAAAACTACCTTCAAATTCAACTATGTTGTTCCGTTTCTCCAATTCTTTTCAGCCTGATGCATGCAATAGAAGCTGACAAAAATAAAACATGAAAAACAAGTTTCTCATTATATCTGTATAACAGATTGCCCAAGACGGCTGATTGTTTGGGAATCTACATTTCTGATTGTCTTCCATACTAGTATCCCGATCATCGATTTGATTTGGGGGCACTTTTCACCTCCTTATTCGGCTATACACTTTGAACAAGTAATAATTGTAAAGAAATTGAAAATGTCATATGCAAAAAAGGTAGTTTTTTTCTCACAGCTATTTTACAAACAATTTCAGGGGAAGTGAATAAAATGTTTCACAAATCGTTTGATGCACTATTTTAATTATAAAGATATTTCCTCATTTTCATCAATGGTGTTTTCACTCCTATCACTTGTTTCTGCAAGTTATTCGACATAGAGTTAATTTTTATAGTTACTCAGAAAGTCTTCGAACATCAAGTTTTTTTTGGTTTCAGCAGAGAGGTTTCTTATATAAAGTCTGAAAAGTAATTTCACCTAGTAGTTGTTTATTGCTTCTGATATTTATCTTACTCCAAGCACCATACTTAACAAGGACATGAATTTCTTCTTGTAGACATTTACTTTAAGAATTTTAACTCTTTTCAGCCCAAGGATTGGATTTGGGGCTTTCAGGAAGTAGGGTAATATTGATTCCAAAACATAAATAGCGTGTCTTTCAATCTTAACAATGTCAAAAGGAACAGAATAGGCAATCTTTATGGCAAAAACAACCATAGTAAATTCCTGTCAATGGACAACGGCTGTTTTCACCGAAAACTGAGTGGACAATGGTTGTTTTTGCAAAACTAATGATATTTCATAGCTCAATATTTCTCCGGCTATGGCTAATTTTCCATCACTATTTAGACCAGATGAAGCCCGAGGAGAGCGGCATAGGATACTGTAGAGGTCTCAAAATCGTTGGTTCTGGATTATTCCTGTCTGTAAAATCCACTGTAAATCGTTTTTCGTTTGCAGGATTGCGTGGACACGTACGCTGGGACGACAACTGGATAACGTTCCTGGACAATTTGGTGCAGTATTCTCTTCTGCAATTTAACGAAACCTATTTAGAAGCACCCACTGTACTCGTAAACATAGCCATCGACCCCATACTTCACAAGACTTTGTTGGACGAGGGCAACGGCGAAAATGGTATGTTTTACGCACTTCTAGAACACACATTTTGCGGTAGCTAAGAAATGTAACGCGACTCCATAAACTGAATTCAGCAGGCACAAAAGTTGGGTTCACCTGAGCAATACTATCAAGAATTTTCTGTTGTTCGGTATTTCGAGTAATAACTTTGCACACAAGTCAGGATTAATGCCTGTTAGTGGTGATGGTTAAGATTGGCTCAAGTGGAGAGGAGATTGTTCCTCGAAGAGAAGAAAGTACAAATATAGGGATGGTGTAGTTCCGATTTTCATTACAACTGTGACATTTAGATAAAAGTAAAAAATCTTTACATTTAAAACACTAGCGCTTTTCGTATAGAAAGTAATTTCAGCTTTCTACTCACGCGCAGGAGCATTGTTGGAGATATGTGGTAGTATGTTTTTGAAGCTTTTATCACCAAGGAGTATTTTTAATTTAATATTATTCATTTAATTAATTTAATTATATTCATTTAATTAATTTAAGTATATTCATTTAATTATATTCATTTAATTAATTTAATATCATTATATTAATTCAATTCAATTCAGACTTATTTTAAGTAAAGAGAACCAGGCTGTCACGCCTGCTGTTCCGTCTGACCACGCAAATAATGCTGCGCTTCTTTCACTCTCTTGCGCAGAAATAATGTATCGCCCAGGTGAAAAACCAGTGATTTGAATTTAGCGCAGATGCTTCTTTTACGCGTGTATTGAGAATGCAGTAACTCTACAACATGGAATGCCGGCATTACCTCCCTTCCGAAAAAAGGCGTACAAAGATTTTTTTGCCCTCAAAATATCCACGGCTTCGATCGGTTTTCAACCCGCTAACTTGGATATAAAAGCATCGCAAACTGTTATACCTCCGAAGCAGCTGCTAATTGACACTACTAGGGCACTCTAAAGTGACAACCGTTACTTACATGAGAATTTTTACATGATAATCTTTTTATTTAAAAAGTAGCAAAAGCGTTAGTCTTTACTCCGGTATGGACTAACAGTCATTTCCTTTGCTCTCCCTTTGATTTAACTGAAGGCATATAACTGAGAAGCACGGTTATAGAAGTCTGGATTGTTTGTATTTGAACCACGGCAACCCTTCCCCAATAATAAGGGAATTCCTGGACAAGTAACAGGTGAACCCATCGCCCTTATAGGAAGAAAATCAGTAGATGACACTCGGATCAGAAACTCCGTACGTCACGTACCTATTCACATAACGTGCCTAGGTCGGGGGAGAAATTAAAAATGGGATTTTAGATTGAAGGCTGATACATTATGTATTAGAATGCACATCATGCGGCAAGTCAGAACATTCGCGAAATTCGAAACTCGCTTAACGCGAAATTCGAAACCATAGCCCGTGCGTAATTCGAAACTGTGACACGTACTTGGGCGCAAAAGCGCCAAGCAACTGTGCTACGCACGACTAGAAGTGAGAGAAATGAAAGGTGATACATGGTGATTGTGGAAGCATCACCTCAGCGCAACACACAAGATTGACTGATTGGTTATTTCGTGTTTCCGTGTGCGTCAACTGCGAAGGTCAAGAGTCGCGTAACTGTAAGTGCATTTTTTTTATCGCCGGTGGTAACAGATCTTTCCCACAGGCACTTCTCCAGTGCCGACCTACATGTCGACTAGCGTGATTTTCTCCAACCAGGAATCTCCCATCAGCGGAGCACCGCCCCAGCCGGGACATGCTGTGAGCTTCCGACTGGTCTTGCGACATGTGTGATAGTGTAGTGCACGTAAGAGTGTGTGTAAGTAAGGGGTGAGGATAGAACAAGAAGGGGGAAGGAAAGATTGCGTGCGGCCTCTGGCCGGTTTGTTAGATAACGGCTTCGGCATTCGCCAGGTGTACATCGGAGAAACCACGGAAAACTATCAATCAGAGCAGCTAACCGCTAGAATTCTCTTCCAGAAAGTGTCTGAATTCGACATAGCGGCAAGCGGTAAAACCCATGCTTACGTCGGGGCTGGAACCCTAGGACCGTCCGGTCAGAAGCACTGCAATGGCATCAGTTGATGTCCTGCGTCATCTAAGCCTGTAGCACACAAGCAAACACAGATCATCACACCGGTTGGGATGACTCAGTTCCTGTATTAATTCTGTACCCCCCACTGTCTGGGGGTACAAGGCATCAAGTCCCAATGGTGCACTCTTAGTCGCCGAGCTTCGCTTGCGTAATGGGACCGCACTTAACTGTCCCTTGGAGACCACAACCGCACAACTCTCCCCTCGTGAGATGGCTCAGTGACAGAAACCCTGGCTGCTGTAGAGTCTCGGATCCAAAGGTTCTAGAGGTAGAGTCCCAGCGGTGGCGGATTTTTGGCATTAGCTAAAGAGCTAGTTGAAATTCGTCCGCTGTCTCGAGAAGAATTCTAGCGGCCAGCTTCTATTATCGGTACTTTCCGTGGGTTTTTTGATCAATCCCAAGCGAATTCTGGAGCAATACGTTATCAAAGGAGCCATGTACTGCGCGTGATCTTCCCTTCCTCGTTCTCGTCCCCTCCTCGCCCCATACACGCACGCGGGCGCGGCACACAGACACTAACACACTAACCCTTACATTCACGAAACTACCAGACACGCCAGGGGACCAATCACGAGCTTAGACCTTACCCCGAGTGAGGCAGTACCTCGCTGGCGGAGATACTAGGAGGGAAAACCCCGTAACTCGACATGCTAGTAGGTGCCGGAACTCAGATTCCAGCGGAAAAGGCACACCTCCACCTCCTGGGATATAAACTGCACTTAACGTACAGGGAAAATTATAGAAGTTCCCGCACCCGGAAATACAAATTGATCAATCACTCAAGTGTTAGAACGAGTATCGAACTAGGAAACCTCTGTACGCACAACACCGTGCGGGCTGATAGAACAATTAAACAATCATTAGTGTATCCCGAAACTTCATGTACTAAATCATTTTAAAATATGCATGCAACCATACACTTAAAATTGGCAATACATGCACTTAAAACAGCCAGTATAAGCGCTTAATAGTAAGCATTATAAAGTGTTAGAACTATGGATTAAACAATAATATAGTTACCAACATATAATATTTATTTTTATAATATTCAATTTCCACTGTGGTGCAAAACGCGTATAATAAAAATATATTTCAAACATTATAATATACAAAATTATTAAGCGAGAGAACCAATAGCATTGTTACAAGATGCCGTAACATTCAATCCAATTCACTTAATTCATGCTCACGAATAAGTTACAGGACAAGACTCGATTCAAGCGATTCAAATGTTATCAGAAGATTATCGGAAATATTTTGTTCATTTGTAGTATTGGCATAGCTTAATTAGTTTTCTTTTGAAAAAGAAATATACGATACAATTTTATTTGCGGCACACTTCTACACAAAACCTGAAAAATACGCGTATACATGCGTAGCATCAATAAAAATATACAGTTAACGAAAAATAATTTCAGAAATGTGCAATTAAGCAAAATAAAACGGGCTACTTTTGTTTTAATTTTGTCCATAGGTTGTACATTCCCTTTTGATATTTGCGATTCGTAAAAATATACAATTGCATGTAGTTCCGCGGTCACTCGTTACCATTCAATTGGTTTTCTGCTCGCCCCCCAAATTCAAACCGCCTCCCCTGCGCCGTCGCAAGTCGCGACCCTCGGTTTGCCGCGCAGTGTTCGTGGTGGAGACCCACAGGGAGGCGGGGTCGCTGTACTGCGGCGGCGTGGAGCTCGTGAGGGGGCGCTCCAACATCATCGCCCGCCGGCCCCCCGCGGGCAAGCTCGTGCTGGAGCGCTACGCCTTCGAGGCGGACGGCCCGGTGGAGGAGGGGGAGGAGGGGGAGGAGGTGAGCGAGGCCCTCGCCGTGCGCCTGGGCGCGCAGCTGGCGCTGGAGAACCGGCCTCCGCCGTCCCGCGGCGCGCAGCCCCTGCCCGTGCTGCAGCTGCTGGCTGCCGGCCACGACCTCCTGGCGCCCGCGCTGCTTGCCGCACTGGAGGACTTCCCGCTCGTGCAGGTACGCGGCCCGGATTGAATCGTTTTCTATTTATGTACCTATTTATCTATCTATCTATCTATCTATTTATTTTTTATATCTCTCCATTTATGTATTTTTATCTATCTCTCCATTTTTGTATTTTTTATCTATCTCTTTATTTATTTTTTATCGATCTCTTTATTTATTTTCAAATTTATTTACTTAATTTATTTAGCGTCAAAGACAGTTAATAACCGTATGTGGCGTGCAAGACAGAAATTGATCTACTGATATTTTTCAAACGTAAATGAGTCACCTGTATTTGCTGCACAATCAATGACTGTGGAAGAGGCGATCAGTTTGACTGTCACGTGACAACGGCGGCTGAGATCTCACTCTGACAGCTACACTGACCTTCTCAAAAGCGGTCTTTGGCCCTGTTCCAAATACACTATGTGTACGGATTCTAGAGTCCAAGAACAACGTTCGCAGATTATACTTCTCCACCAATCGCCACGAGCAGTTTTTACTGTCTGTAATGTTAAATAAACACACAAATGAAGTGACCCCGAATCGCTCGCGCTCCCTCAGTCGAGCGTGAAGCTGGTGCTGGGCCCGGGCGCGGTTGTGCCACCGGACAGCGACGCGGAGACCTGGCCGCAGCTAGACGGGCCGGGCTTCCTGGCCGAGCGCAACTGCGCGTTCGTGGTAGGGCGCGACCTGCTGGCGGCGCAGAGCCCCTGGTCGTCGGAGGCGCTGGCGCAGGCGCTGGCGCCGGGCGGCTGCGTGCTCAGCGTGGAGCGGGCTACGCCTGCCGCCCTCGACGAGACCCTGCGCCACGGCCTGCGCCTGGTGTTCAGCCGCCGCCTCGCCGACGGCCACTTCGTCGTGTTGCGGAAGGTCAGCTCCTGCAGAGTTTTCATTGTTTTAATCATAAAATCCAGGTAGACAATGGCGTGGTTGGCGTCCAGTCTTTCGGCCTTTCTCCCCCAGACCTCCACTACTTCCAAGACTTAAACTCTCACAGCTCTCCACTCTCCTCCAGGTCTCCACTCTCCTCCAGGTCTCCACTCTCCTCCAGGTCTCCACTCTCCTCCAGGGTCGCCTCTGCCTCTACAGCTTCAATCTAGATCTTCGTTTCTCCAGATCTTCACTCTTTAGACCTATTCTGGATTTATGGAGAGTTAAATATATTGTTGTCATTATGTGAATTTTTGTTTCATATTCTGTGTCAGCAATATTCGCATATTAAAACTAAAGTTACATGGCAATTATAGGCCTTGACAATTTAGATGAAATTTCACGCCTCATTTACGTTTTACACTGTTTTAATTAGTAGATAATTAAGTCACTACCAGAAGACTTTGTTCTGACTTTTTCCTTTTCGGACTTACACGTCCTGTCTTCTTGCCATACCAGTGGTTTGCATAGGATTAGAGATGAGAACACAAGCGCGATCTTAAATACGTGCGCTTTTGCCTGGGCAGGTAAACGATATTGTTTATGAACAATCAATGGCAGAATGCTTGCGAGCGAAGGGGAGAGTACGCGAGGGAGAGTGTGGGGGACGTGGCAATGCTTGAAGGTGCGCAGAGATATATGGGAAGAGGGGAAGACGTGACCCTGTGTGGAGATGCACGAGAGTGAGTAGGGACGCGGGGAGTAGGGTGGGAGGGCGAAGACGTGTAGGGGTGCGTGGGATTGTTCGGAGGGGCGTCGAGGGACCTAGTGGGACGTAGGTCGGCGCCGTATCTCACCATTCAGCTCGAGAAGATCACTGCCAACTCCAGCAATAAAGAAATGTGCAGTACACTTTCGAGACTATCATAGTTAACGCGTCCAGAATCACTAATCAATCAATGGAGGGTGTGTCGGGTCCGCGGGCGAGCCTGGGTGTACGTTGGTCGACAAGGGAACTCGCCATCCAGCGGGGAAAGATCACCGCCACCTCCCGCAATTCAAAACATGCACTGCACGTACGGGACAATGACCTTCGTCGTTGACGCAACCGGAATCACTAATCGACATAGCGTCGGGTCCATAGGCGAGCGTGGTGGGACATACGGCGACGCAGGATCTCACCATCTAGGGGTCGGAGGTCACCTCCAGCGATACAATTAGCACTACACTTACGGG